AATATAGCAAGTTTAGTTATCGTATCGTGTCTTAACAAGTTTACACAACTTGTAAGACTTGAAACTCAAAGTATAATAGTATCATTCTTACATGAATTGTAGAAAGAAGAATAATTAAAACAATATGGCTTTTTCAATCGGAGACTAGAGAAGATAAAATACGGATAAGAAAATAGATAATTATTTTTTAAAAACAAATAGAACAAATATTTTTGTTATATTTTTTTGTCTAAAACATGTCTTATACATAGAAGCTTCAAAAAGAGCCATTTGAAGACATAAAATCCATTTAAAAAAAAATAGTTTTACTATCATTTGAAACTTACAATAGATTAAAATGCAAGCAAGTCGTTTCAAAATATTTTTAAGTTGTTCTAAAACAATTTCAAATATAGTACTATGTACTATATAATGTTTTTGAAATGCATGCATTTAATATTCATATTTTTTAATAATTAGTAATTAATATAATGCTTAATATTTTAATAAAAAATATTCCAACGGACATGACCGACCACAACCATGTGTAAATAGAAAAGAATGAACTTGAAACCTTCAAATGAAGTCAATAAAAAGAACACAACAACCCAAGCTATTATTCAATTATCTACATTAAAAACCTTACATGAAAGAGCTTTTCAAGAATAATAGTTTTAAAAGTTTTTTTCTCTCGCCAAATACTAACAAAATCCACTCTTCAATTAATAATTAAAAACGTAAGAACCAACATTATTCAACCATCTACATTAAAAAATTTATTTAAAATCTAATTAATGGTGTATCCGAACCTAGAGAACCATTAGTGTTTTTGCTTACACCAAATACCGATAGACTCTCGTTCGTTTCATTTAGTTTCGGTCTTAAAAACACAAAAAAAAAAAAAAAGAGCTCTTCACTCTTCTCTAGCTCGATGGTTTGTGTTTCAAAAGTAGATAATGTAAGGAAGAGAGAGAATAAGAGACTAGACAAAAGGAAAAACTCTCGTTCATTTTGTTTCAATAAGAAAAAAAAATCTCCAATCCTCTACTTACTCTATCGTTTGATTGTTGTTGTTTGAGAAGAAGACTGTAGAAGGAAGAAAGAAAGAAGAGCCTAGAGAAGAGAAAGTGTGTTGGTTGTGTTTTTCGATGGTGAAAAAAAAAGAGAATTAATGGAACATTTATCGTGATCTAATCTTTTTTAAAATTTGAATTTTTTTATAAAGGGAAAGCATGCATAGAGGAACGAGTTATTTGGATCCACTTGTTTGTTTTTTTTAGGTTTCATGTGATATCATGTGCGGTCAATGTCAAAAATTTGATAGGAAGTATTTATTAAAAAAACAAAAAAGTAATACATGATAGTAAAATTACACTTTTTAAAGGTTACGGATATATCTCAATTTGACCAATAGTACAAAGGGATTTCATGTAATTTAGCTTACCAATTACAAACACAAATAAAGAAAGAAAGAATAGATAAGGTTCAAATGTAGAAAAAGAAGAAAAAATTGAGGCCAATGTATAGATACACAAAACGCTAACTAACACTACTATATAAATCTCTCTTCATCTCTCAAGAAAAAGGGGTGCTCATTCATCTTTGCATAGAAAGAAAAAACACTCTCTATCTATTATTCTCTTCCAAAAAATCACAAAAACTTTATACTTACCATAAAAAATCCACTCAACCTCCATCTCCATCTCCATTACCCAAAACAATCCAAAGTTTGACCACCCATCTCACCTCCTTCATTGCAACCGTGAAGCTTCCTAAAAAAGCTATTTGAATATATCAAAACATCCCCTCTCCGTGACGAGCCATGACTGTCGTCATTGCAATTCCATTCCAATCACTCCTCCACCATTTTCTGGCCTCTTTTGCTAATACAATCTCATACAATCTAGCCACCATTACCGTTGTAACGTCCAATAGCCTCTAGGCCACCAAAAAAATAGCTACAAGTTGCTAAAACAACGATAGAATTGTCGATAAAACGGTGATAAAATTAAATAGTAGTTATTGTTTCTATCCAGCCCCTCTTCCATTCTAGCCATATTTCTACCTCAAAACAACCTCTTTAACTCACTATTATCCATCAATAAAAAAGCCTCCGAATAGCGGCCAAAAAGCCCCAAAATAACCCGTGGCAGCCTCTCGCACCAAGAAAACCCTCTTCATGCCATTGTGTAAACCCTAAATCGCTACTTCTAGCCCTCAAAGTAACCATCAAAACCCACCATGATAACCCCTAAACCTACCCAATTCCATTCTTGAAACAACCCTAAAAACCTACCACAAATAACCTTTGAAAACCCGTAACTTAAGCTACCTTTTTAAGCCTTGTAACCACCAAGCTCTAGCCTCTAAAACCCACTCAAAATAGTCACAAAATAGCCTTAGAATGACCCTAAATTATCTTAAATAAAACCCCTAAATCATCCTTAAAACCCTAAGTGCAAATTTTAATTAGAGGATGACAATGATGACTTTGAGTAAAAATTAGTATATTTAGATCCAAAATTATTCTTCAAACCTCGATTAAAGAACATGGTCAAAACAAGCAATTGAAGGAGGAATACCATGACTTAAAAAGCTAACTTTCTCTCCTTTCGATTGACAATATTGATTATCTCTATCAAAGGGTTGAAGAATGAGTTATTTATCTTTAGCCTAAAACGCATCTTCGATACTCGTAAAGAGATTCTACAATCAGTTTGACCAACAAGATAAGTTCTCAAAATCCTCCATACCGCACTATATTTAAATTGATATTATAGATTAATACGATGTTATGATGTGTATGTGATATTCGGAGTATGAATAAGATACAACGTCGTGTATCAAATCCGAAAAAGTAGTAGACTCCGGATACTTTTGAGGTAAAATAAGATTGGTGTTCAATTCTCCACGATGGGGCTAGGAAGAGGCTTTAATTTTATTGGTTTATATAGGGCAAGTGCTTGACCTTGGTGTGTGCATTTGAATATTTTGTATTTGCTTTAGATGTTATGCTTGATTTAATATAATGATTGTGATATTTTGATCGTATGATCTGTTGCTTTTAAAGTATAATGTGTGTATATGAAAAAATTGTTTTTTTTTTTATGGATTAAGTCAATGATGGCTTCTCACTTATTTGGATAAAGTTGTCGATAGTTTACTAATGATAAGAAACGAAGTCGATTGCCACTTTCCACTTGTATGGATAAAGTAATTAAAGGTTTCCTAATGTTGCAAATCAAAGTCGATAGCGGCTTTCCACTTGTATGAATAAAGTAATTGAAGGCTTCCTAATGATGTAAATCAAAGTCGATGGTGGCTTTCCACTTGTATGGGTGAAGTCATTGGCAACTTCTTAATGATGCGAATCAAAGTTGAGGGGGCCTCCCATTTATGTGGAAGAAGTTATTGGTAGCTTTCTAATGATGAGAATCATAGTTAAAGATGACTTTCCACTTATGTGGAGGAATTTGTCAACGACTTTCTAATAATGCAAATTGAAGTCAATGGTAGTTTTCCACTTGTGTGGAACAAGTCATCGGTAACTTCCTAATAATGCAAATTGAAGTTAATTATGGCTTTCCACTTATGTACACAAAATCGATAGTGACTTTTTAATGATGCGAATCAAAGTCGATAAAGTTGGCGGTAACCTTCTAATGATGTGAATCAAAGTCGACGGTAGCTTTTCACTTATGTGGATAAAATCATCGGTGACTACCTAATGATGTGAATCGAAGTGTCGAAAACTTTCCATTTGTGTGGACGAATTCATTGGTGGCCTCCATTAGAAGCTTATTACTTGTGTGGATGAAGTCATCAATTGCCTCCCTATTGCGTGAATCGAAATGTCGATGTCTTTCCATTTGTGTGGATGAAATTGTCGATGGCCTCCCTATTGTATGAATCAAAGTTATCGATGACTTTCCACTTATGTAGACAAAGTCATCGGTGGCCTCCTTATTGTGTGAATCAAAGTTGTCGATAGCTTTCTATTTGTGTGGACAAAGTCGTCGATAATCTCCCAATTGAGTGAATCAAAGTTATCAACAACTTTTCATTTATATGGACAAAGTCATCGGTGGCCTCCGAAGTATGTGAATCGAAGTTTTCGACAACATTTCATTTGTGTCAATATTGGCTTGTAATCCGTGGAAGCTCGCCGATTTATTGATATGATTTTACAATCACTAAGGCTAGTTAAAATTTAAATTTTTATTCTTTTTTACCCTTATATATTCTTTTTTATCCTTAGAACATGGGTATAGGCTTTTGATTGGCTCAAGTAGCTATAGATTCAATACATAGCAAGACCAAACTTTAATTTTTTCTTGCATACGATGCAACCTAACTTAGATAAGATGTAATGATAGTGATCTCAATCTTCTTCACTTATAACCAACACCTTGTCCAGATATTAGCATAGATCGATTTATTTAGGATTTTCTAATTTTCCTAATTGTTAGGTAGCGACTCCACCGCACCTTGAGCCCTTGATGGATAACAAAAATTGATTGATAATGTAGTTGATGGAAACCAAGGTATCCTCATGGAAAAATAGTAGGATATCGTCTTGCCTTTTATTTACACCAAAAAAGATTCCTTAGTTGATGATAATTTGATTTAACTTTTTACAAGAGAAAGAAAATGACTTTACTTATTCACGTATGAATAACTAATGTTCTTTGAATGTACATGCATCCCTACTATTGTATACTGTATAGTTTTAGACCCCTCACAGGAAAAAAAAAATAGAATGAATGAAGCTGCCGATCGGACTCATGCTTTATGCCGAGGCCTAGAGCCATTGATGATCCTATATGATCACGTAAAGACATTTTCAATAACCAGGCTCATACTTCTGTGGTCAACAGTCCTGAACTTGAAGGGACGCCTAAATCATTTGATAGCTTTGTGCATAACTGCAGGCATAAAATATGCAAATCGAGTATTAAGAGAGCGTCACGAAAGGATAGAGGAGGGAGGTGAGAAAGTGTTTGCGAGAGAGAGAAGCATGCCTGTCTGTATGCTGAAGAATCTCCATATGATTTTCTTAATTCAACCACATACAGCGCTGGGCTAATCTCAAATACCTGAAACATTACAAATGTATTGATAAGTTAATATTTGAGGCACAAACACAATGTACAATTAAATTTATAGTGCAACTCTCATAAACCAGAGAAACTTGAAAATGTATTTACCTCTGTAGCAACAGAAAGACTGCCCAAACTTTTCTTTCCGCTGTGTTCTTGCATCACTATCAACTGGAAAAAATGTGCATAGCAATTTCTTAGTTACAACCCAGTGTTAAAATGGCATGATCCTCGAGTCTGATCAAGACATATTGTTTAACATTGCTGTTTTCTGGTAGGGAAGTAAGAAAGATGAAAGCACGTTACTGATAAAAAATACTAACTTTTCCATTTTTCTTCTGGACTCGAAACCCCATCTCTGTCACAATATCCTCTATCTTCTCAAGCAAATCGTTCGTAGAAGGATTATTGGATGTAAATCTGATCTTCCTCTCGGAAACATCCTATAAATTGATTCAAATCCAAATCAAATGGCCATCCTTTGCAATCAGATATCAAGGTGTATTTGCTAATGTCTAAGAAAAGGAAAAATAACAAACAAAGCTACAAACCAATTAAATTTTTTTTTACTGAAAAAAGGTATAAAGCTAGTGCTGTGTGTTTGCTCACCTCTTTCTCAAATAAACCTGAGAGGTCTAGGCATGAGGACATTCCAATTAATTGAAAAGCATTGATGAGGTTAGGTGATTTTGGACTCCCGTATTCTGATGACTACAACGAAGGAATACTCTTTCAGTATCAAACACTAAAGCAATAAATAAGTGGGCAACAATAATAAGAGAATCTCAAGTTCCTACCACTTCCTGAATTGAGAAAGCTTCATCATCAATGTATACTTCTTCTTCTGCATAATCCATGGGAGTATAGCCCTGCTTAAACCATTCATCAGCTTTTATAGCAGCCATTGTTATTCTGGTAACAGGGTTTGGATCAAGAATCCTCTTTATCATATTCTTAGCACCCGGTGACAACCACTTTGGTACCTGAGCATCCCCCTTAAAGATCTGGAATCAACAAGATAATCAAACATCAGATTTCTTTTCTACCAAATGAAACATGATGGGACATTTTAAAAGGCAAAAAAAGGTTAATGACCAAACTTCAGTACCTTTTGATATAGAACAGCAAGATTTCTATCATCGAAAGGCAGGTATCCGGTGAGAATTACGTACAAAATAACACCACATGACCATATATCTGACGTAGCCCCATCATACCCTCTATTTGAGAGAATCTCAGGTGCAACATAGTTAGGGCTTCCACAGGTTGTATGCAATAACCCGTCATCCTGTGACATCAACAAAATTTTAATAAAGAATCAGCCAACAAGAAAGAAGATATATATAGATCTATACACTCTTAAATGTCCAATTCAATAGGGAAGCATACCCTAAAATGCTGGGGCAAAGCACTGAGTCCAAAATCAGTTATCTTTATGTTTCCTTTAGCATCAACAAGAACATTCTCTAGCTGCAAGTTGAGTGCACAATATTTGTATTAGAATGAAATGAAAGAGTGAAAAAAAATAATAACAATAATAATAATTCTGCAAATGTTATAATAGATAAAGATAACTTACCTTAAGATCCCTGTGAAAAACACCTTTGTTATGACAGTAACTGACACCATCGATCAACTGCTGGAACATCTTCCTGCCCTCTGCTTCTGGAAGCTTGCCCTTAGATGCCTACAGGACATAAGCAGAGCCAAATATGTCACAGAGCTTGAATCTTATGACTTTCAAAAACATTTCTTTAAAGCTTGATAAAACCTTCAAATATCAAATGGAAGTAGAGATTCTCACAATTCTATCAAACAATTCCCCTCCAGTTACGTATTCAAGGACCATATAAATCTTGGATTTGCTTGCTAAGACCTGCATTGGCAAAAGGAAGCACAATCAGAACACAGTCAGCACGCAGAACCACTAACAAACTTGTTCCAAGCAGCAGTCCTAGTAGAGCAATTCATTATCATACGAGTACAATTTTAAAGATACTAAAATCACTACACAAAAGATTTCATCTTTTTTCCCAAAACTCGGTCTACCTATCAATTGTTGTTTGACTTCAAAACATTTCCTACTAGAAAAAGAAAAGATGAAATAAAAACCCTGTAATCATCACTCTCAAACCGTTTTGGGCAAAGCTCTAATTGACAATGTGACCATTTGGTGCGAGAGTTGTTTTAATGTTACTTTTTTAGGTAAATGGTGTATCTATCACCAGCTCCACTTGCATCACATTCAATTATTATAGTTTAATGCAGACGAACAGTGGTTCCAAAAGTAGACTGAAAATTCAGTGAAGTATCACTGAAATCTAATAATCTGGCAACCAAACCAGCTCACCATACACTGTTCATAAGGTACAAACCTAAAATTACCATCTTAGTCTAGATTAATGGATAACACAATAATTGGCAAAATGTTTGAAGCATGTGGGCATCATTTTTATCATATCAACAGCCACATATATATATCTTTACAGCATAAATTGATTTGTCCTCGGGTCCTAATGCAGCAAAGGGTCCCATAATTTAACAATAATGATCCAACAAGTTGGGGCAGTGCAACAAGGGCAGCCAATGGGGTGTAACTTCTTTTATTCAGGGGGAGGGAGATGGGATAAAAAACAAAACAAGGGAATGATGGGACCCCCACCACTGTGTGGACCCACCCTAGTCCTGAGGCTGTGGAGTGTTTGTTTTTGTTGTTATGTGTGGACCAGCGAGCAGGGAACCAGAGACCAGGGCGTTTTGTATTCTTCTCTACCCAATACCAGACCTGACAGGACAAACTCACATGCTAAGCATTAGAGAGAGTCTACCCTCTTCAACTACCACGCGGCACGTTCTAATTGGTTGGTCAGGTCAAGACCCACTGCAGCAACATTACCAGACAAAAGAGGAAATCTAAACCCAAAAAAAAAGGACCATTGACTTGATCGGACGGCAAGGATCAAATCAGAATAACAAATACCAATCAGCGGACGAGATTAATGGCACGTCACCAATGAATTGCTCTTGGCTGGCTGCTTGCTCTGATCTCCCAAGCAATGGAAAGATAGTTTTTGTAAAATAAAAGTCTCTGCTTATCCATCCATTACAATTTACAGGCATAAAAAATTCATTTCCTGCTAAAATTTCTGCTTCTAAAAAGAGAGGTGGGCAATAATAGATGGCAGAGGCATACCTCAAGTAATCTGACGACGTTAGCATGTTTGAGGAGCTTCAAAGTGGCAATCTCCCTTTTTATCTGTAATAACAATATTTAAAAAAAAAAAAATGCCCTGCTCAGTAAATAAATAATAATAATAATTATTATTATTATAAACAACAATTTGTTTGCCTTTGCCTCGAACAGATAGAATCTGAGAAAACCCATGAAATTTAGATTGGAATCTAAGAAAATTAAAGCAATCTAGTATATAAAAAAAAAAAAAAATCATATTCCCAACCCATCTGTTGTTTTGCTTTTCTTTTACGTTTTTTTTTTTTTTTTTTTTGGAACGCCATGGGAAAATAACGGGAAGGAACCAGAAAGGCATTAAGAAAACAAACAGAGGGATATAATTAAAACTCAGAAGGCCAGGAGAAGAAGAAGAAGAATTGAGAAATGAAACGTGACAGACCTGGTCGGTGATCTTGAGGTCGATGATCCTGTTCTTTTCAAGAATCTTAACAGCAAAAGTTTGGCCTGTCTCAATGTTCTTAGCCAGTTTAACTTTTCCAAAATTACCTTCGCCCAGAGTCCTTCCGAGCTCGTATTTTCCTAGTTGCATTCCCTTCTCCTTCTTCTGCTGTTTCTCTTCCTTTCTCACCATTCACCACAGTTTCACACGCAATAAAAGACAAATAAACACACACCCTTTTATTCTCTCTCTCTCTCTCTTTTCTCTTTTTCTTTCTGGTTTCCCTCTCTCTGCCAAAGATACAAACAACCCACAATATCAAATAAAGGTAATGGATTTATATATATATCCTTTCTCTCTCTATCTGTAACTGCGCGATTTTCTCCCCCGTTTTGTCTCGAAATTATCAAGGTAGGATAAGGAAGACCGAGCGTTACGTTAGTAGTGTTAATTTGAAACTCTGTTTGGGCTTTTATGGATAGATAGATGTCTGTGCCTTCGAGGTGCTGCTTTGCTCTGTTTTTTTAAAATATATTATTACACTAATAACGGTAAATATTTAAAAAAAAAAAAACTTATGCTTTAAACTAAATGCAATATATAAATTATAAATTAGTCTATTTAGTTTTGAAAAATGAATTGATTAATTCTTTTTGTTTTAAAAACTATTATTTGGTCTTTTTATTGTAACTTAATGTTTTTATTATTTCTAATTAATTTTATTTTTTATTTTGATAGATAGAAAAAATAAATAAAAGATATGAAAATATTGATTAGAAAATATGACAGTATATAAAATAAAATAATAATAAATTAAACATGATTAATATTGATTAATGAACTAAATATTTTTTTTGTACAAAAAAGACTAATTAATTTCTTTTTAAAAATAAAAAATAATTAATTTGTTTCTTCAAACTAAAAAAATAATTATTTATAATTTACTGACAAATACTTACCTTTTTTGTTTTAACGGCTGAAACGGCAATTGGGGTATTATTTTAGTTTATTTGTTATTATTCAATTCAAAGTATGGATTTGGAGGATGTTGGTTTTTAATTGTTTTTTTAAAAAAAACTGAAGTAAGAAGATAACCAACAGATACGCAAAATCCAATTTATTAGTTGGGTTGATTATTATATGTGTTTTAACTTTATTTTTTAAGATTTGCGCTTTCCTAATTGAGAAATTTATCTTAACTAAATAACAAATTAATAATACTCATTTTATGAAAGAGAAAGACAAGAAAAATATGAAAAAAATTTAAAACTAAATGAAAATATTTTTATTATTTTTCAATGAGATTTTCTTTCTTTTTCTTTAAGTGTAACTATCTCTTCAAAGTAAATCATAAGTATTGTTCATTACTCGGTATTTTTAAATTTCTCTCTCCAAATTTTATTAAATATTATTACTAAGGAAATTTAATTTTCCACTTGGGGATCTCCTAAATTTAGTTTTAAAAGCTTCAGATCATGAGATGAGTAAGTATAGAATTGAGATCTAGTTAGCATAGATTTAGCTTTAAGTTGCTTACAAATGATTCTGTAGGTCGAAAATTTTATAAGAAAACTATAGTAAAAATTATATACTCAAAATAAAATTGACTCAAATAAGATATAATAATAATATATTAGAAATTATTTTATTTTATTATATAATGACAAATTGATCTGTTAATTTTCAAATCAATTTTATTTTTAATGAATGAAATATGCACATAACAAAAAATAACATTTATTAAATTTTTCATCATCAAAAAATGATATCGTTTTGATAAATGCACATCAGATTTAAAATATTAAAAAAAATTGACAAAAAAATGCAGTCATAATATATATATATATATATATATATATATCTGGAACCTAAATGACAAAGACTATAAATTTAAAATTTATCACTAAATTTTGTTTTTTGCTTACAGATATACGCAGGTTAAATTTGGAAAGTAGCATTGGTTAAAATATAAGGGAAACGCGGGACGCAACACGACGGCATGGTACGATTAATTAACCTCGACTAATTAAATTCATGTACGTGCACAACCACTCCCGCCGGGTAAGACATCAGCATCACCTTCTTCTACTTTTAGCTTTTAGGCGTGCATTATGCATCCCCGTCCCCGTACTATTTATCTTACACGTTTTACTTGCTTTTTTAAAAAAAGTTTCTTTATTCAAAAGTTTCAAGTAACTTTTGGTGAGTTTATATACCAATTGATATTAGATAATTTATTCTTTCAATGATTTTAAAAATATATTCTCTATGACCATTGTAAAAAATAAAATAAAAAATTCTCAAGAGCTAATTTTCGAATTTCAATACATAAAAGCAAGGGTTAAAGCAATTTTTGTTAAATCATTTACTTATGTTAATTCTTTTTTAATACGCCAAACCAATGAATATATATAATATATTTTTAAAATCATTTGAGAAAAAAACTTATCTGGTTTTTATTGATACGTAAACCGAACTAAATATATTTTTATTTTTTAATAAGAAAAATACCCATGATAATTTTAAGTCTAATACATTCATAATTTATACGTGGTAATTACCTTCGTTCATTATGTTTGTATTGGAAATTAAAGAGCGTTTATAGACTTTCAAAATTGCAAAAATAATTGAACTGGTTAATTGTCGCATTAATTGGTCGATAAAGTCGACGTATGTCTTGTAATTTTATCCTAGACGCAATGAGTGACAGTCCATACGAATCCTTTGGAAAGGCATAATCAATCATTTTTTTTTAGCAAAAACACCATCCATTTTGCACCCACATGGCACGACCTACTAGCAAATTGTAATAATCCATTTCGATACTTTTTCTAATCCAGGATTATTGATACGTACGGAAGGAACTTGATTAATTCAATCTATGTCGTGTTAATTTAAAAAATGTAAAAGAAAAAAATATGGCTGTACATTAAATCAAATCGTTCTTTAATTTTTGGTCAGACAATCTTTTTTTTTTTTGTTTTTGACAATGTGATTACGCTGAGGCTACTTGGTAAAATGATCTTCCCAACCTTTCTTAGAATTCAACTTGATCCTTAACTTTTTTTAGAGTTATTATGTAAAAACAACTAATGGAAATTTGGTACGACTTTTCATTTTTCATTAGGATAGAAAGCCCAACCCAACAGAGCGTAACGTAGTCGGTTAATTACTTTGATTTCATAGATTGAGGTATCAAAAAAAAAAAAAAAAGTCGAAGATTAGATTGGATTTTACTAAAAAATTAGGAGATGGTTTCACCAATTAATCTTGGTTTAATTAGCTTTTTATTGTTTAAAATTCAAAATTAATAAAAAGATTTAGCCCTGCTAACACTGCGTATCACCCGATTTGGATCCAACCTTGCAAACGGGTGGGGCATGTGGCATTTATTTAAAATTTCACACATTTACTAATCATAAATTAAACAGTTTCTCCCAATTTCCGTCCAACACATGTCAAGTTTTAATGGATAACAACCCAGTACGTGGATTATTCAACAAGTAACGTGGACGTTTCCCATTTTACTGGCTGTATTAATTAATCATATTGTTAGCCCCTGACCCCTGTCAATTTCCCAATTGCTTGCTACCTCCCCTAGTTATGGTAGATAATTAATTGATAATTGCTAGTGCTTATACTAAAGCAAGGCAAGACATGTCATAGGGCCTATCTTCTACTCCAAAAATAAATAAATAAATAATAAAATATTACCTTAAATTACGTCACAGTGAAAGAGAATATCCTTTTCTCAATAAGACTAGAGAATGTGCTGTTTCCTTTTATATTTCAATTCATTAAGTAAGTTTTTTCTAATATGTGCTCTAACAACAGATGTTAATGGATGTTATGAGGGTTTCTTAAGGTTTGTTTTAGCTGCTGTCACTGGTAATAGCATCTTTTGCTATTTTTTTCAATATTTTTCTTTCAATAATTTAAATTTGAGGTTTTATATCTTTAAATATGATTTTTTTTTTAATAATATCCAATTTTTGTGGGTTTTTTTTTATGGTCTTCGATCTTTTTTTTCAACATTTTATGATTATTTGGTTTTTTTCCTATGGAGGTTCAATAAAGGCTCATTTCATATATCTAAATTTAGATCGATTGGAGCAGATTTAATAAATAATATTACTTATCAAGAGAAAAGATTGTTTACGAAGTAACATAACTATCGATGGTGGTTAGATCTAAGATTAATTTATGATTCTTCTTTCTTTCTTTTTTTGTATTATATCATTGTTTTTTCTTTAGTTTTTTTTTTTTTCAGTGTAATCCTCTTTTTATTTGTTTTGGGAGTTATTTGAGGCTACAAAACCCACACTGTATTCTTGGTTTATCAATTCTTATCTCTATTGAAAAAAAAAATTCAAACTCAAAAAAATAATGAGATCAAACCTTTTCGACTACGTCCCTGTTCTTTGGAGTTAGGGTTACAAATTAATATTTTTGCAGAATATTATAGTTCTATACTTTATTGTAAATTGCCTACACTCCACGTACTTTAGGCCACGTCCGAGAGGGTGGCACCACCCCATGAAGCAAGAAATTTGGGAGCGGCAAAATTTAATCCACCGCCCATTTAAAAAGAGAGTTCAATGATTTCTTTATTGACAATTTTCAACTTAATTTATCGGAGACTACGTTTTTTTTTTTTTTTGTCCTTGCGCACGAATCTTTCGTTACAGCATGACAAAGTTGGGCACGCTTAAATGTTTCTATTTTTTAACTATATATATATATATATATATATATATATATATATATATATATTGTCATGAAATAATGAATATCCATCGTCATGTTCATTATTTTTTATATTTTTACTATTCATGATTCTTAATATGATTTAATTCATCATTTAATATAAGAAATTGAAAGGATGATGCAATTGATTATTCATAGTCTCTTTCAATTCTCTTCTCAAATTTTGAAGCCTATAAATAGGCTTGATTGTTCATTAGTTGGTGTATAAGTTTTTTAAAAAGAATAAGAGAAACTTTAAAGTTCTTATCACTTGTATTCACATTATAGTGATTTCATTTTCTTATCATCATTTCCTTCAATTATCCTATTATTTATATTTATTTTATAATACGTTATCGGCACGAAGCTCTAATCAATCGAGACAATAGACTATGAGGTATCTAATAAAAGACTTAATCAATTATTTCAATCATTGAAATTTTTTCTATATGATTGCTCTATCAAAAAATCTAAATTATCTAGATCATCAAGAGTTATGTATCTAATTTATCATTTACTTTAAATCTAATGATACATAGAGTATATGTTTGAAAAACTTGAATAATTTAATATATACCATCTAAAGATCTAATACATATTGTTTGAAAAATTTAAATTTTATTATTATATTTTATCTTTATTTCCTAATATTATTATTATACTTTGTAATATATAATTTTAATGATATCAACCATCACAAAACTTGATTTTTTGGCCCTTGACATTTTGGGCAAGAATTATTGATCATGAGTGTTTGATGCTAAGTTAATATCATCTACTTTTCATGTCTCGAATATGCTCCTGCAGTAGTATATCAAGAAAAATAGTTTAAGAAATATTTTTAATCAATTCCATACTTGTTCATGACGAGTTAAATACAATGACAAGCGATTGATGAAAAAGAATAAATCCGACCTATTGGATATATTACATCCCCGAAGTGAATATGGCAATTTATAATAATTTTAGGCATGGAAGAAGATGTGATCATAGTTATGGACGTGGTCGAAATAATTATCATTATAATTGTGATAACCATGATATTACATCTCACCACCGAAGTGGATAACTATGAAAAAAAGAATAAAAATAGATAAAGTCGGTATTCGAAAAATAAATATTATAGATGTGGAATAAATGAATATTGATCATGTACCTACTGTACACCAAAGCACCTCATTGAGCCTTGTCAAGCCTTTTTGAAAAATAAAAAGTAAAATATGAAGACCACTTTTATATATCAAAATAATAGTAATTGAAATTAATTACTTATTAGTTTTTCTATTTATAAATAAAAATTTTTATAGTTCTTATAATTTATATCATATAGTGATGGTTACAATTTTATTTTATTATTTATTTATTTATTTGTATTATAAGGAATACATTTATTTATTTATTTTGTATTGATTTATTTAATTAATTAATTTATTTTAATATTATATATGATAATACCAATCTAATAGAAAGCTCTAGAAGAGGGACTATATTATTATCTAAAGAGATAAATTTTGAAGGCTCTAGAAGAGCGATTCTATTATTATCCGAAGAGATAAATTTTTAAAAACTCTAGAAGAGTCATTATATTATTACTTGAAGTGACATGATTTAAAGGCTCGAAAGAGCAAATATATTATTATCCGAAAGGATAAATTTTATTATAAATAATATACTATTCTATTCAAAGTCTCATAGAAATTTGTTGAGTTTCAAAGATATTTTTCTAAAAGGACATTATATCAAGATGACAAATGTGAAAAATTAAATTCTTAAATATTATAATTACATTGGATAGGAAGTATATATTGGAGAAATTAGTTGCTTTCTCCTCTAGTCTTTATTATCAACATTGGAATGATTGTAAAAAAAATATTATAGTAAACCATAAGTTTACTAATTCAAATACTTTTATTATGTTGTATGGCCGAGTTGTGTTATCTAGGTCTTTCATGATGCGAAAAATTATTAAAAATTCATATGGACATCTATTGAAGAGCTAGAAGATTTTTTAATTTAATAAATTTTCATGTTCCGCATGTTGTCAAGGCAAATTGATGATTAAGCCATCACCAAGTAAAATTGAGATTAAATCTTCGGTATTTTTAGAATGTATTCAAGGTGATATATGTGGATCAATTTATCCACCATGTGGACCATTTAAATATTTTATGATTGTAATAAATACATCCATAAGATGGTCATATATATGCTTATTATCTACTCGAAACTTGATGTTTTCGAGATTGTTGGCAAATAATTTTATTTTGAGCATAATTTTCAGATTATGCCATTAAAACAAGTCACCTTCATAATTTTGGTGAATTTATTTCTCAAACATTAAATTAGTATTGATTAGCTATTAGAATAAAGATTGAACAACTTATTGTTTATGTTTATACTAAAAAAGGTTTAGCATAATTATTTATCAAAAGGTTTCAATCGATAGCTAAACCATTATTTATAAAATCAAAACTCCCTATTTATGTTAGGGGACATATAATCTTACATGCAACAACACTTATTCGTATCGGACTCATAAGTTATCGAAATTCTCTCATCTTCAATTAATTTATGGTCATAAGTCAAATATTTCTTATTTACGAATTTTTGACATTGCGAGTGTATATCCGTAGTGCTCCTCCATAACAAAATAAAATGGGCACTTAAAGGAGATTGAGAATATATCTTGGATTTGAATCCTCTTCGATCATTCAATCTCTTGATTCATGAGCGAGAGATATTTTTACGGCTCGATTTATCGACTGTCATTGTGATAAAACAACTTTTCCAACATTAGGGAGGGCAATTAAAAAAAATAAGTAGTTAAAAATATTAGAAAAAGAGATTACATGGAGTAATCTATCTTTATATTAACTTGATACAAAATAATATAAACTAAAAGTTCGGAAGATGATTCGTTTATAAAGTGTCATAAACCAACTACTAAATACATTCTTAGATACTAAAAGAGTAACTAAAAGGCATGTCCCCACTAAGAATGCTTCTATTAGAATTGATGTCTTTGAAGGAGAGTTTATTAATGTTATAACTAATGAGTAAAGCCTAGAGCATGAAAAATCGATCGGTTTTAAAGACAAAAATCCTTAAAAGAAAAGGGCAAGATGAAAATATAAAGGATGTAAATATTCACAAAAAGATTTAAGATATTTTTGATAATAGGCTTCTAGAAAAAGTCCAAATGCTTGAGAAAAATCAAGATATTTTAATAAATTATGTCAATACGGGGAGAAAATAAGATCGAAAAGAAATATTTATTGATAAGATTTTTTCATGTAATGTTGCAATTGATATTTTGAATAAAAATAAGGATCCCGACCTAAAATTTATTGAAGAATGTCGACATAAAGATGATCGATCTAAATAAAAAGAGCAATCCGGACGTAATTACGTTCTCTTATAAAAGAGTAGTTTTTTGAACCCATGGTTAAAACACCCGAAGATGTTAACTTAGTGGGATATAAATGAGTATTTTTATGAAAAAAATAAGAAAGATGAGATTGTAAGATACAAAGCAAAAATTTTAACACAAGAGTTTTTGCAAAGAAGTCGACATTGACTATGAGGAGACATATTCTCCTATAATGGATGTAATTATATTTTGTTATCTCATTAGCCTGAAAAAATATAAGAAAAACATTCAAATGCATGCATTTAATGAATGTGATCATAATTTATTTATTCATTTGAAATGATATTAGTATGAAAGTCCTAGAAGGACTTAACATGCCAGAAGCATGTAATACATATTCTCGAGAAAAGAATTCAATTAAATTATAGAGATCTCTATTAGGATTATTTTAGTATTTGTTTTATTATTTTAGTTTTTAGAAATTCAATTTATATTATACTTTTTTATATTTTATTTTTATATCTACTGTTTATTACTAACCCATATGCATGTAATATAATCACTTTAATGATTATTGAAAGAAAGTTATAAGAAAAAATCTATTTGTTCGTATATTTTTATTTGAAAAGGGAGTTTGTTGTATATGCTGATGACTTAAATATTATTGGAACTCCTAAAGAGATTCCAATGTCATAAATTATCTAAAAAGATCATTTGATGTGAATACCTTGAAAAAAAAATGCTATCTCGAGTTCGAGCACTCGGAGAATGAGACTTTTATTCATCGATTCAATTTGTATAGAAAAAATTTCTACAATGATTCTATATAAAGATCATTTATTGACTAACCCATTGGTAGTTCATTCACTTAATATCCAAAAAGATCTTTTTTGATCTTGAGAAGATAACAAAGAACTACTTGGCTCGAAGTACCATATCTTAGTGCTACTTGGTGTATTGATATATCTTGCTAATAATAATCGACTTGATATAGTCTTTTTTATAAATTTATTAGCAAGTCATAGTTTTACTTCAATACAAAAACATTGAAATAAAGTTAAACATATACTACGTTATCTTCGAGGAAAAATTGATATGGGCTTATATTACTCCAATAAATCAAAGACAAGATTAATTAGTTATGCGAGATACAAGTTATTTATCCGATCCACACAAAGCTCGATCACAAGTGGTTATATATTTATACATGAAGATACGGTTATATCTTGGTGTTCTATAAAGCAAACTATAGCTATCACATCTTTAAATCATGCAAAAATATCAATTCATAAGGGAAA